TTGGGAGCCGGACTGGTGCTCCCCAGACAGTTGCTCCCCGGACAGTTGCTCCCCGGACAGTTGCTCTCCGGACACTTGCTCCCCAAGGACACTTGCTCCCCAAGGACACTTGCTCCCCAGACACTTGCTCTCCAATTATACTATACAGAACAAAAAGTAGAAAAATACTGTAGATTATCAACAGAACCACCATCAAAATAAAATATAATAAAGTGACAATGTTGTGTTCTGTTTCATACTTTCTTTTAATTACTTCTCTAATCTTATACTATTACACCACAACTAATTAATTAAATGTCAAAGAAAAACATAATCCAATAAAATATATGTACTGTGTTGGCAAGCTTAAATTTCTAATTAATTAATCTCTTCAACTAGGTTGATCCATAAATGTGTATATCTATTTTGATAATACATTTTTTGAATTCATTTCTCAATATTTCCTCTAAAAGATATCATATCAACGTTTTTCTACAGTATTAAACATTTATCTATTACTTGATGGAAACTATTAAAGGAAAACCAATATTTGAGCATCAAGGTTATTTATATATTTTTAATAAAGAATCAAGTAACAAGGTGATATGGTGTTGTCGTAATTATCGTCATAATAACTGTCGCGGTCGACTTCATACAATTAATGATCAAGTTGTACAAACAGTTGGTGAACATAATCATGAACCAAATCATTCATCAGGTGAAATTATTGAAGCACGTACCAAAATGACTTATGCAGCTAAACAAACTGTTAATACAACACATGATATAGTAGCTGATGGTGTATCCAAATTATCTGATCATGCTGTTGCATCATTACCAAACTTAAAGAATATTAAACGAACCGTTCGACGAATTCGTCAAAAACATCAAAATCCATTTCCATTACCAACAAATCGTGATTCACTTGTTATTGATCCATTATTTATGAAAACAAATCGTAATAGAACATTTTTACAATTCGATTCTGGACCAATTGACCAAAGAATGTTAATATTCACAACAAAAAAACAATTAAAAATATTAGAAAATGGAAATTATATATATTTAGATGGAACATTTGATGTCGTTCCTGAATTGTATTTCCAGCTTTATACAATTCATGTTAAATATTTGGATCATATTTTACCTGCAGTTTATATACTATTACCTGGTGAGTTACTTTACAGCATATCTTTTTTAAACTTTCTGTATTTTCTTAGGCAAAAAACAACGTTTATACAAAGCAATGTTACAAGAAATAAAAAATTTAGTACCAAATTTTGATCCACCGAATGTTATGATTGATTTCGAGCGTGCAAGTATGAATGCAATTAAAAGTTTATTTNTCAATAATGTGGTCAAAGAAAAAGAATTAAGTCTTATGATACTGTTCAATTCCCATTTTCCACCACATGATTTTTACATCAGTCAAACCGCCCTACTCCAGGAACAGGACATTCTGTGGATTAGGCCACACCATTGGCATATTTGACAGGCTAATACTCTATTCATAAAGTTATTTCATCGGTGGCTCTTCTGGAACCGCTATGGGGGGTAAAGGGTTAACCAATTTGATCTAGAAATGTGTGTATCTGTTCAATAATATATTTTTTTGAATTCATTTCTCACGATTTTTTCTATAAGAAAGCATATCAACGTTTTTGCTATAATATTTAAATATTAGCTTATTATATGATGGAAACTGTTAAAGGAAAACCAGTATTTCAACATCAAGGTTATTTATATGTTATTAATAAAGAATCAAGTAACAAGGTGATATGGTGCTGTCGTAATTATCGTCATAAGCAATGTCGTGGTCGACTTCATACGATTAATGATCTAGTTGTACAAACAGTTGGTGAGCATAATCATGAACCAATTCATTCAGCAGGTGAAGCCATTGCAGCACGTACAAAAATGAATGATGCAGCCAAACAAACTGGTCATACAACACATGATATTGTTGCTGATGGTGTATCAACATTATCTAATCATGCCATCGCCACATTACCAAATTTACAAAATATTAAACGTACTGTTCAAAGAGTGCGTCAAAGACATCAAAACCCATTATCATTACCAACAAATCGTGATTCACTTGTTATTGATTCACAATATTTAAAAACAGCTCGTAATAGAACTTTTTTACAATTCGATTCTGGTCCAATAGATCAACGAATATTAATATTTTCAACCAAGAAACAATTTAAAATTTTGGAAAATGCAAATTATATATATTTAGATGGCACATTTAGTGTAGTTCCTGAATTATACTTTCAATTATATACAATTCATGCTACACATTTAAATCATATATTACCAGCAGCATATATATTATTACCTGGTAAGCATATAGTAGCATATCTTTTAAAAACTATTTTCCCGCTGCGTCTGTATTTTCTTAGGTAAAAAGCAATATTTATATAAAACTATGTTCCGCGAAATAAAGAATTTAATACCTAATTTTGATCCACCAAATGTAATGATCGATTTTGAACGCGCAAGTATGAATTCAATTAAAAATTTATTTCCAACATCAAATATATATGGATGTTTTTTTCATTTGTGTCAAAACATGTATCGTGCTGTTACAAGATTTGGTTTAAAAACATTATATGGTGAAAATGAAAATTTTGCACAACAGCTTCGATCGTTACCAGCATTAGCATTCTTACCAACTACTGATGTTATTGCAACATTTGATGAAATAAAAGCTCAATTTCCAGTTGAAGGTGAGCCTGTATTAAACTATTTTGAGGAGAACTATATAGGTGTTAAAAGTCGTTTGTCTCGTCCTAGAAAAGCACCAAAATTTGACATTTCATTATGGAATGTTAACACAAATACACTTCAAGGTCAACATCGAACAAACAATGTGGTTGAAGGTTGGAATAATCGATTTACATCGTTAATGAACTGTAGTCATCCAAATTTTTGGAAATTTTTAAAAGGTTTAAAAAAAGAACAATCTTATGTTGATGCTCAAATTATTCAAGCAGAAGCTGGTGTTAGACAAGCACGAAGACGTGAACAAATTCGTCGAGAAACACGTATTTTGAATTTATTGAATGAACCAACAACAACAAACTTTCAAAAAGTAATGGCTTTAGCTCAAAATATTTCATTAAAAAGCTCATAATTTACATTATCTTATTATTCATGAAATCAATGATCGATTTACATCTAAAATTGAATATATATTGGAATATATTTTCTCTAATAATATACTTCTATTTTACTAGTTTTGTTATTATTTCTAATTAATAAAATCTTTCTTATTCTATTATTATATTCCATATCTGAATTTCATACACTTATACATTGTTCTTGTAAGTCGCAAAAATTCTACTCAGTATTGTCACTGGGGAGCAAGTGTCACTGGGAGCAAGTGTCATTGGGGAGCAAATGTCTGGGGAGCAACTGTCTGGGGAGCAAGTGTCCGGGGAGCAACATTCGTGTTACCGTTTGCAAGATCCATCACTGTTGATCTAATCATAGTCTTCAGTGTTTAACCCTCCAGGGATCTGGTTTAAATTAAACACGTCATTTATTTACGAGTGTCACACCAGGTGAAGCGTTTTCATTACTTTTTGTTCCATTGTATGTTGTTTTTCTTACANTACTATTACCTGGTGAGTTACTTTACAGCATATCTTTTTTAAACTTTCTGTATTTTCTTAGGCAAAAAACAACGTTTATACAAAGCAATGTTACAAGAAATAAAAAATTTAGTACCAAATTTTGATCCACCGAATGTTATGATTGATTTCGAGCGTGCAAGTATGAATGCAATTAAAAGTTTATTTCCGACATCAAATTTAAATGGATGTTTTTTCCATTTATGTCAAAATATTTATCGTGCTGTTATAAGATTTGGTTTAAAAACATTATATGGTGAAAATGAAGATTTTGCGCAACAAATTCGGTGTTTACCAGCATTAGCATTTTTATCAATTACTGATGTTATTCCAACGTTTGAACAAATTAAATCTCAATTTCCAGCTGAAGGTGAACCTGTATTAACTTATTTTGAAGAAAATTATATAGGTGTTAAAACTCGTTTATCAAGACCACGCAAAGCACCAAAATTTGATATAGAATTATGGAATGTTAACACAAATACATTGCACGGTCAACATCGAACAAATAATGTGGTCGAAGGTTGGAACAACAGATTCTCATCGTTGCTTAATTGCAGTCATCCAAATTTTTGGAAATTTTTAAAAGGTTTAAAAAAGGAACAATCTTATGTCGATGCTCAAATTATTCAAGCAGAAACTGGTGCTAGACAAGCACGAAAACGTGAACAAATTCGTCGTGAAGCACATATTTTGAACTTATTAAATGAACCAACAACAACAAACTTCGAAAAAGTACGTGGTTTGGCTCAAAATATTTCATTAAAAAATTCATAATTTACATTTTCTTGTTATTTCTAAAATGAATGATTGATATTACATTTAAACTATATATATTTATACTCATTTTCTTCAATAATAGTACTGCTATTTTTCTGTTGTTGTTATTATTTCTAATAATATATGTAATATTGGAATTATTTGTATAATTAATAAAATGTTTCTTATTCTTTTGTTGTGCTCTATATTTAAATTTAGTTTATATATTGCTCTTGTAACTCATAAAAATTGTATTCACTATTTTTGACGAGCAAGTGTCCGGGGAGCAATTATCATTGGAGAGCAAGTGTCTGGGGAGCAAGTGTCCTTGGGGAGCAAGTGTCCGGAGAGCAAATGTCCGGGGAGCAACTGTCCGGGGAGCAATTGTCTGGGGAGCCCCAGTCATGCATTCGAAATTGTTATCCACATGTTGAAATTGTTGCATTACTTTGTGAAAAATATTAACGAAATTTCAATTTTTTAATTTTATTTTTATTTTAATTTTTGTTAAATTTTGATTGCATTTAGTTGTGATATATAAATATGTATTCTTCAAAAGTTGATTTTTAGTTACAATAATTTTATTGAAGAAAATCTAATAACAGAGGTATATCATTTCAAAATATAATTTTTAGTTAATTGCATATATAAATTGTTTTATTTGATAGGTTTATGCAGGAAAAATAATAACTTCTACTTCAATATCTTGGAATATAATATAATTATCAATTTTAGATATTAATTTTTGCGATATAAATTTTATAAATGTATTTTAAATAACCGATAATAATAATTTAAAAGCAATATAACCAATTGTATCTTTTTTATTTCTAACAAAATATCGATATTAATTTGTAACAAAATATTTATATTAATTCGTAACAAAATATTCATATTAATTTGTAATGGAGTATTTATATTAAGTCCAATGCAAGAATTAATTCATTGTATTAATAAATCAATAATGTAGATATATGTTGTAGGATGTGAATGCGGGTGTGGGTGCGGGTGAAGGTGTTGGCATAGATGTGGGCGTGCGTGTGGGTCTTAATGAAGTGACATTCCAAGCCAAACCCACACCCACACCCACACCCACACCCACGCCCCACCCACACCCACACCTACCCACACCCTATCCACCCTCTGTTTGATAAACATACACCATACTCACTCCCCAACTCGATAATTCTCCTCAAGCATTTGAAAGATTTCCAAACAACACCCAAAACAAATATGTACACATTTGATATCACTGACTTATACACCATGATTCCACAGAAAGAAGCAGTGCTAGCCGTCTGTGAATTCCTAGGTAGGAATGCGTATAACAAAATACGAGGACTATCGATAAATACGATAAAATCTATGTTTCTTCACGTCTTAGAAAACTCCTATTTTGTACTACAACACCCGGGATTAAAACCGAAATTCTATAGACAAGTTCGGGGAGGTGCAATCGGATCGGCATGTACTCGGGTATTGGCAGACATCTACGTGCGAAAGTGAGAGAATACTTTTGTAGAACAGCAGTATCAACAAGGAGAATTGTATTTTCGCTTTCGCGACGACATATTCGTAACCACCAAGCTACCCTCAGAACAGATGGAACAAACTTTAGCTGAACTGAACAAAAAAGATCCTAACATAAGTATAACATGGGAAGGGGGAAAAACAATCGAGTATCTCGATGTGAAAGCAACGATTGAAATTCCCAATTTCAGAACAACAGTATTCCGAAAATTAGCAGCACAACCATATATTCTTCCCTTTCATTCATCTCCCCCCCCCCCCCCTCACATCACTCACAACATACCATATGCAGCTACCCTACGAGCAACTCGTATATGCTCACACTCTGAAGATCTTCGACACGAGCTAGAAAAGATTAGAATTACATTACTTTTGAATAAATATCCACCACTCTTCATAGACAAGCACATGGGACGCTTCTTTAACGATCTAACAAGAGAAAGAACATCAAAGACACTACTGGGCAATGATCACGAAAAACTCAGAGCAACAGTGTTGGATTTAACATGGAATAAGAAAGAAAAAAGAAAAATAGACTTCAGTAAAGACATTCTCGTCCACTTTACATATGCCCCATCTTTAGCCCATTTCGGTTCTCACTTTCATCAAATCTGGCAAGAGATATTCGAAGGAACACCACTCGACGACATACCTGNTAGGTTTTAAACTAAGCATAATTGTACAGTAAGATCAAGTGCAGAATGTAAAATTTTTCATTTTCAAGTTTTTGTCAGAACGTTTTATTTCATTTTGTTACATGGTACAAATTTACAGCTTGAGCCAGCTCATTCCATAAGTTGTAATTCAATGGGCATAAATGAGATGAATTTGACGGCCAGCTATGCTTAAAATGAGTGCACGAAAATGATCATCAAACCATGTTTGGCTTAGATGATATTTTTTGTGGTTTTGCATAATCTTCTTGGTACGTACGATTGTTTCCTAAAATTTTGTTATCAAATTTTAAATCTATTCAAAGGTTTTCATTTATGTAAAGTCCGCCTTTGATTTTTCCATCTTCTAAAATCACCAGTACCATCAGCTCTTGCTTACATATATCTTTGTCTTAACCAGAAGACTCGTTTCCTTGCGAACAAAATTTTTATTGCCTACTTCTTCTCTGTTCAGAGCCTACACGCGGATCGCTCTGAGTATTGTAAATAGTTTATGGAATGGACTTGATGAAGCTATGAATTGGGCCCATCCAACAAAAAGGGCAATATTCATACGTGAAATAAAACACTCTATCGAACAAATCGAAAAGGAAAGTTTTTTCTCCCTACCATTGATTTTATTGTAGGATTATGGTTAATCAAAATAGAACAGAGAAAAATTTATTCGTTAAACAAAATATACCATTTTATGCCGAATTTCAAGCGCTATCTTTTAATACAAATGTTTAAATGAAGGAGATTATTGAGGAGAAATTTCTGAAACACTAACAGCACATTTCTTTATCGGCCATCCGATAATAATCGAAAAAGCAAGAGTGTTTCATGATAAAATTTAACTTCTTTGACTCAGACAAAATTCAATTATGTAAAATCTGTTTTTCAATTGAAGAATCTTTTGATGTTAAAATATTTCAGATAAGATCATTTTCTTAAATCAGGCTTTATTTGCATTAATTTGTCAAATCATTTAATCACTAAATGAGATATTTATAGTAGCATCTTATAGACTGCTCGTTTTAGTTTTGTTTCTAATCTAGCTACAGGTAACTACCTATAACAGGCGTGAACACTCATAAAATCGATATTGATACTTGGCAAACTTATTTCCAGCACACCATGAACTTTTGGAATAACTTAGGTCGTGCTAAAAGTAGTGGCCAAGTTAGGCTAATTTCGTACAGAAAGCTTGAAAGAGCTTTCTTTCTGTATGTACTGATAGTAAAGGCAATCCTGTATTTTTTTGTGATACCTACTCATAAATCCATTAATATTACAATCATAAAATTTCGACAAATAAATGTTTTTTATGATTTGTGACGATCACAGTAACGGGAAAAGAGAAAGTAGATATTTTGTAAATAATTATCGATAGAAGAAAAAAAGAGAACTGTGATTGTCATCGCTGGAAAGAGGAAATGAAAACGCATCGAATTGTGTATTTTAGCGTCTTTTAACATAGTCTCTGGAGTACTTTGAATTACTTTACTAAATGTCGGAAAAATGATTTTTTTTAATTAAAAAAATGAAATGCAAACATTGATTCTTTTCACAGTATTGACTAGCAAATCGACTTAGAGTGTCGATTAGAATGACTATTACCGCTGTATGAAAATATATAAACCGCTAATATTTTCGCTATTTCTTGGATATTCGATTGGTGGTTTGAAAGCACACAGGATAATTGAAAAGCAAGGAGAACAATTTACGGAGATACGTTTGTTGCTAAGAATTTCGTTTAGAAGGCACAAAAATGATCAGAAACTCTCGTATCATAGAATTTGATGTGTCTGCATCTGCTCTTTCTAACAATGAAAATTACAGTTCTCTAACTTGTTTCTATTGAAGATTACTTCAAAAATATTTAGCTGTGATTTTTTTTCTCGTTGCTATACTCTCTAACAAAAATTCTATTCGTGAAAACCCATTTTGGTCGATTTCCGACAATACGATGTTTTTAGAGAATGATCATTAAATATCATGCCAAACAAGTCTTTGTCGAAAGTTTATTATCGTAATATTAGCTGAAGTATGATGAGATATCACAGAAAATAGAGTATTCGTTCTTCTATCAGTAGATGCAGAAAGAAAGTTTTCTCAAGCTTTCTGTACACAATGAAGCTAACTTGCTCATCAGTTTTAGCATATCCTAAGTATAATGAATATGTGTATATAACAAGATGCTTCATTCGTGAACAATATTCTACTGAAGAAGCTGCAAAAAAGAAAGAATGTCACGCCCATGTCTATTCTTTCTAGAGTTGTTAAAAACATAATTTGGCTTTGTCATTGAATATCGAAATGCCGTTGTTATCATCATCCGATGTAAATCTCATCATCGCACTTCAATATACTTTGCTGCAACTCAATCGTTATTGTGTCATTTTGATTTTTGTCTTCGGTTTCTTAGGGAATGTTGCAAATGTATTGGTTCTATCACAACGATGTCTGTGTTCCAATCATTGTACATGACTCTTTCTTTTGCCATCTGTCGCTCATTTCATCGCCATTTGTTCTAGTCTTATGTCTCGCTTTTTATTCACTTGGGATATGGACTTGCCAAATACCAACCAATTTCTCTGCAAGTTCCGTGTCTTCGTTCTCTTCAGCTTGCTTACATGTACATTTTGGTTGATGGTATTAGCTACTATTGATCGCCGGTTTTCGTCAAGTTCTAATGCAAACCGTCGAAAACAAAGCACGTTAAGAAATGCGCAATGTAGCATTATCCTTGTCGTCATATTTTCTATGGTCATTCAAGAACATCATTTCTATTGTTTCGAAGCTACTCTTATCAATAGTTCTCTACAATGCTCTGATAGCACAGCAATTTGTCATCTTCTATCCGATCTGAGCTATATCCTGGGAGCTCTTCTAGTTCCGTTACTATTCATGATTGTATTTAGTTTAATGATTATATTCAATGTACGTCGAGTACACTTTTGTGTGCAGATAGCCACTGTAAATCACACTACTAACACCGTTGCACAGATTGCAACCATCTCGGTTGGACAGATCAATCAGCACAAGAAAACGGATCGTCAGCTATTGAACATGCTTTTGCTTTAAGTGATTCTCATTGTTCTTTTCACACTCCCATTAATAATACAAAAATTTTATGCAACAATTATTGCAGAAAAAATCAAAATACTATTACAAAATACCATTGATGCGTTTCTTTTCAGTATTTTTGTGCTTCTCTCTAATTTCGCTTCTGTAATGCCGTTCTATATGAATACGTTAGCGAAGGAGTAATATATCGAAAAACTATGATTAATTTGATCGAGAATGCAGGTCGAAGGATTTTGTGTCGACGAGCATGATTTTCTTTATTAAAATAAAGACTAACAAAATAATGATTGATATTAGGCTAAATAGTCGAAAGATGCTTTCAGAGATCGAGCAAAGTGGCATAGTCTCACTGTAGCACCATACTTGAAAATGCGAAAACAAACTTTAAACTGTCAATGTATTTGGTATTCGCAAGAGCAGTGAAGGAGTGACGTAATAGCATCAACTGAGTATGTATCTTTCTTATAATTACGGTGCAGCAGAAGGATTGATAGTTTATTAATGAAGAGCATTTAATCTTCCAAATGAAGTTCACTGCTGAATTTGATATTAATTGTCTGATAGATTACAATTGTGTTGTAGTATTCGCTAGTAAAGTTTGATCATCACAAGAAATTATCTAATGCTAGAGCTAGCGTACGATTTGAATCAAAACTAAATATCATTTCCTACACAGTTTAGCAAGGGCTACAAGACAAAAACATACTTAAATCTTGTCAGCTATAAATTGATGTAAAAAAAGGACAGATCTACGTGGAAGCACCCACCATTAATTGAATGCCAAAGACAGATCTACAGTTATGAATTGTATTCTCTGGTATTTTCTTTATAAGTTGATGTCTGCAGTTAAATCCACTGGTATATCTTCACAATTTTATCAGTCTGAATGTCATCATTGATTAAAGCTGAGTCCGAATCGAAGACAGTATTCGATGCATAGTATAGATTTAATGAACTTTTGAGAAACTCACATTATTATTTTCAAAGAAAAATTCAGTGAAGATAAGCGGCATTGCGTAGATAAAATTTTTTATTGAAGATGTCAACGATATTGGATAGTGATACACTGATTCACCGCAGTCGTCAAATCATCAATATAAAAACTGTGAACTGAGCGTGAGTCTAAGTTAGTGTTCATCTTTCTATCCACACTCACACCTATACCCCACAGCTCACATTAACAGCTATACACGCGTATGCCCACATGTATACATACACTCCACACCAATAACAACACCGTAGACAATGAATATTCCGCCCGGAGTTACATTCCTGGCCAAATTAGATCTTTCTTTTCGTTTTTTCATCTAAAGTCTAGTATAAACAAAAAATTGCCAAATGCTACGGAAACCACGTCTGCCATTTTAATTAGTCAAGAAATCCATTTGTTGCTGAGTTATAATTTCACAAAAACCATGCAAGTATTTTCCTACTGATAATGCTTCCGACTCATTACTCATGTGATTCAAACCGGACAAAAGTCGCCGATAGACCGTTCGATGCAATGTGCAGTATGCCGGCGTCAGTTTGATACTTAAAAGTTAAGATATCTGTCAATCACCATTCTACTGTGGTATCTCGATAGTTATTTCCAAATCGGCAATCTCCTGCCGATTTGAAAACTTCTGATTCTTATGAGTATTGTGTTACATCGGCGGCAGTGAGAACAAACATATGGAATCCTTATTGACAGTCTCATTCAGAAACACCTATATATTATATTAGCAACAAGATTTAATGATTGCTAAGACAGATAAAGATGAAACTTAGAACAGGCATTTTATTTCTCTATGAATAATTTTGTTATAAAAGTGTCTTTCGATGTTTCTTCGATGTATATTGATTTCGAGACCAAGGCATTAATGACATAAAATGAATTCGAAGCTCAACTATATCTAAAACTCGCTACAGTCAATGTATAAGATACACAAGTGATCTGAATAACTTTTTCAATGGAAACGATGACACATGTATTCAACAAATATAGATCGAACATATCTCAAGGCATCTATTGATTGACTGTCAGATAAACGCATGCAAATATGTTTCTCTGAAACTATCTAAATGAGTTTCCTAACATATTCAAACAAATTTAGATGTGTTTCTAGAGCCATTTTAATCAAAAACGCATCTAAGTGCATCAACTTGTTATTTTTCACGCTCATCTAGATGCATATTTTTGTTTTTATTTTATGCGCTTCTAGACGCGTTAGATATTTCATTGTTGATGCAGTTAGCCAGTGAAAAATATTCACCGAGTAAGCTACTTTTGTAATGCTGAACTACTTCATCACAATGGCGTCCATCATATGAATGTTTATGATCACCTAACATTTCATGGGGACGAATTATTCTTCTTAACAAATTTAATCGAGTGTCTCCAACGAGACTAATCGAAATGGATACAAGTCGCTTTACTGCGAATACCACAATGTTGACTTGACGCGGACATTGTTGTTAATGAATCATTCCACACAACGATGGCATTTTTTGAAATTAGGTTTCTGGCTGGATCAATAAGTAAAAGTTCGAAACAATTTTTTACCGAATATAAAGGATCGCTATATAATGGTAGCTATGTCAATTTGTTTATAAAAAGCTTTGTCGACATATTTTTCAGTACGAAAAACATAGTGCAGCGAAGAAAAAAATTATGTTAAGGATAAATCGAAAGAAAGTTCCGTCGTTCGAATCAGACACAATGAAATGTCAACATAGCAGCCAATAGCAAATATTAATTTGAAGCAATATGTGAGCAGAAATCATGAGATGAGCGACGAACAAAAGAATCCAATGTCAAACTAGCGTTGCAACCACGTACTCTTATCACATCGGACGATCTTCTTCTGAGTCAAAGATAACCTATTCGTCTCTTCCCTTTGCCAGAGCATTGATTCTACTCTGTGTTTATCTCATTCTCTCTCTCTCTCTCTTTCTCTACTTCTTCTTCATTCCTCATTATCTGACTATTCTCTATCCTCGTATCGTATACAGAGTTATTTGCTACTTTCGTCTAGGAACCCTTGCTATCTTTCTATATCTGTTTCTTCTGTCTACTTGTCTTTCTTGAATCCTCATTTTGTCCTCAAGTATTTATTTAAACAAACGACGAATAAATAAGCGTAAACTGACATTTATGCTTCGATACGTCACTTGAGTATTGGAAACTTGCAGCTATCAATTCGATGCTGTTATGACTTGATCTTCAGATAATCTTTATGATATATTAAACTTTATTATAGAAATGTTCAATGCAACAAGTTTCGAAGAAGTAAAAAATGTTTCATATATTTTCATCGATTTTTCTAAAAAAAATGTCAGAATTTAGTAACTCGTAACGTTATTTGTTCACTGATCGAAAATGGCATAACACGTGTACGCCGACCTGATATATAACCGACACAAATGCCTTTGATCTGTTTGTTCAAACTAAATAGCGCGACCATCATAAGAGCAGTAAAAAGTGTGATAGCATTAATACTTAATAAGTAAAACGATTCTGGTGGTTTACTATCTGGTTGTACGCCCCGCCAAACAGTAAGACACAAGCACAGTGCTCCTCCACCTGCAAAAATTCCTACTAAAATCACCATATTTCGTGCCAGTTTGATTTCCCGTTTAGCATTTGGCATACGAAAATTCGTGGAGTCTGATGCAAAAGTGGTCACTCGTCTTGATGATCTAGCATAATATAAGATTGTGGTATAAACGGTGACAGAAATGCTAAGTGGAGTCACAAATGCAGTCATCGCAAACAACATGGTCGACGAGAATTTTTTAGTAGTGAGTGTGCAAAGGCGTGACTCTTTTTCATATACCATAGCATCATTAAAAAACAATAATATTGTCGAAATTAATATAGCAATAATCCAGTTCGAAGCAATCATACACCAATGAACACGATAAGTAGCGAGATACTTGTGTTTATAGAAGATGGTCAAAAAGAGAGGACTGATGGCTTGCAACATATACGAGTAACAATGACCGGCAGATGATATAAGAGCACAGTATGCTCGAAAGGTACACAATGATTGATTTTGTGCCCAATCTTCACGAAACCCATAGATAGATTCGATGAAATTGTTAACGAAATATAATACAATAGTCATACTTGTATTACATGTAAGAAGGTTTGTGACTGTGCGGCATAGTCGATGAGTAGCAACGACGGAAATTTTGATAAAACAAAAAATCAAACTGACGATCGAAGCTACGATCGAAAAAAAGTAATTAACAATAAAAAATAGGTTAGGAAGCATGTCTAACAAAAGTTTGTATTCATCCGTATGTAAGATCTTCTACTGCTTTTCATCATGCCAAAATCGTTGAGAATCTGATTCATCAGTTCTACTCTTGAATATATTTCTTTTTGACAAAGACATAAAAAAGGGTAGCCAACCGGCATTCATTTCACTAGCAAGAGAAATGATTGTGCACTTGTCACAATTGATGTAACCTACACGAAGTGACAGCACTTTCACACCGGAATGCATATATTTCATATTGTTGACGCTGACTACACGAATTGACAGCATTAAGAGACCTAAATGCATGATTAAATATTTCTGTTAAATTATGAGTAGCTTGATTTAAATTTTGAAAAACATTTTCAGAGTCCTTCCTATGCAAGTTGTAAGAGGTAATGAAGATTAAAGATGTCAAGTCTAAAGCTGCAAAAATTTAAAAAAATCAAAACTGTTGCGAGTGGAAGAAAAAAATTGTTGACGATTTGCAGTTGCTGCCGCCATAAGACAAAAATAAGTACTGAGATTTTGATGACTTTTGATATTTCGGCTCAATCTAAGGTGTTGCTGAGCTCATGTAGAACAAAAAAGCAAAAAAATCGTCTTTTAATTGACGTTTTTGATTTAAAACAGGTTCAACCAAAAAGACATAATTTTATCCAATAAGAATATTATTTATTTAAACACATTTTTTTTACACGACTAAGCATCAAATGTTTTCCTATATCTTAGTATGCAATTCGATATGGTGTCGATTGAGCGAACACTATAATAGCGAAACGCATTTTCAGCGAAAAAAAGTGCGCGAAAATAACTTTCAGCGAAAATAAACAATAGCGAAAAGTAAAACTGCGAAAGGCAAAGTAGCGAAAACTCAAAATATTTTTATTAGCAAAAAGAACAGCGACCGTAGAATTTAGAGAATTTTTTTCTTGATAAGATTTGATTGTTTATGTTTGACGATGAATCATCATACTGATGTGTGTGTTTGTATGGTAGCTCTTGCTCGTTCTGCTCTTCTCGCCGTGGTAATCTATCTTTTTTATATATAATCGTCCGTAAATGATGTTACATAGTTCACTGATATATGCATTATTCATTTAGTCCATTTTATGAAATTCGTGTCAAAAATTGGTTTAGTAATGTATCTACCATTTTTTGAGTCGTAAAGTCCGAAAAGCTATTCTTGAACTTGAGTTTCTACATTAAAAAATTAGAAATGAAGAGAAACAGGTTGTGCGGTCACCGTAACCCAAAATGACAATAAAAACTCCTCTAATCCATTCCAATCTATTCTAACGGCGAATTTCCTTCGGGAGACTATTTACCTGTCAAAGATGTTGATGTGGGTGTGTACCTTTCTTCAAATCCTATCCAGAATCGTATAGGCTTCACCGTCACAGAGTTAAGGAAAGATTTTGGCATCATATAAGGTACGATGCATCTCACCTTTTGAAAAGATTTTATCCGAGATTTAAAGAAATGCAAGTTTTGAAAAATGAAAGTTTCGTGAGCAGTGATCATTGCAATAGATGATAGTCAAAATTGTTTATTTTGAATGGCCGGGTGAACGTTGCCTCCTCTAGTTTGACGACCAGTAAGTGTTTGTGCTGTGAGTGATATGTTTGTTGGAGCTGTTTGTCGGTGCTCCGCATTGAAACAGCGTTTCAAATACACTTGAATAGTTTGTCGCAAACGCGGTGATGAAAGAAGGAATATGTAAAAAGATGATGTGAAATTCGCAGAAATAATACAGACAGTCAAATAATCGACGAGAAGTACAATAGACAATTGATCAAAACTTCTCGTTGTATCCTCTCCGATTGTAGCAATCGAATAAATGACGAAAACTGCTCGAGGAAGTGTGCAACAAATGCTTAGAAGAGTTTGAGCTAACATCATTCGTGTCATTTGTTGTTCCCACGTTGACAAACACGTTTGATTTGCTTGTTGACGAACATGAGTTGTAAGACGAATATTACGATACGTCAACAGTCCAAACAGTATTAGAACAGTTAGAGGAAAAAAAATAGTGAGGATTGGAGACAAAACAAGAGTTCCTATTCGCATAAAACGATCATTTGTGAACCAGCAAGCGAATTTCGGTGGTACAAGATCACAATAAATAAGAAAAGGAATATTGGAAATTGACCAAAAAATAAATGGAATAGGAAAGAGACGACGAGCTGCAGCAATCGAACTCAATTGACGTATTCGAACAGATTGAGACGTACATGCCCAGCGATCAAATGCACACAAGCAAAGGAAACTCATAGCAACAGCCACTGCTATTTGAATAAAAAACACTGTTAATTTACAAGCAATGGATGAAGCCGATTGTGACATGTGTGGAGCTATTTGAAGCAACATGATCAGTAAGACGGTCAGATCGGATAATGATTGTCCCACAACATAAAAAGCCAACGGAGATCGACGAAATGCCTTTATACCAATGAATATTATCACATTGAGAAGCGCCGCTGGGGCTCCGATTAAAAATGAAATAATTGGACTCCAAAATTTTATTTGAAGAACTGCTTCAAAGACTGACATCTGTGCCTTTTGTAAAAATCTAATGAGTGCTTGCACGATTCTTCTTCAATCTTAATATAATTATTCGAGAGAACTCTCATCAGCTTTTCTTTTACCTTTTCTCTCTCACTGTATCCATCCTATGACGTCTTCAAATGAAATCTAGTTCGCATCTTCATTAGGAGCACACAGAAATGTTAACAACAGGTGAATCATCAAGATCAAAAATTCCATCATACTCGTTCAGAAAAAATAGTATCATTAGCATGTTGTCAAATATAATTTTCTTTGACGAAAGTCAAGCTCCTTTTTTTTTTTGACGAGTGCTTGCGGTTCGCATATCCTTCAATCAATCATTGCATATAAACAGTCTGGTGTAGCGTTTTCGAAACTATTTTTGGAAAGAGATCTGCTAAAACATTAACACAAATTCATTTTTATGATTATCTACGAGTATTAAGTACTGTGAATATTTTTCTCGAATTCATAAGAATTTCTCTCTATGAGATGATTTGTTCGATTTTAATTATCAACTTAATTTTTTTCTAAAATATGTTTAATTCATCACAATCGTATTAAGCGAAATGCGTGAAGTAATTTAAAAACAGAGAAAGCATGTCTTGTTTGCAAGAATCATGATAGTCGTTCACACATTTTTTTCATGGAACATATTGAAAGCAAACCAAGAATAATTCTCTTCAAATGGATTCATTTGATAAATAAAATATTTGTTGATTGAAACTCACTACAAATATTTGTTATGAAGACTATTGACAATGATTTTCCAAAAAATGCCATTAAACTGATTAGATACTTTATTTAAATTAGCAGAGAATTCGTTTAAACTCCCGGGAAATGCATTTGAATTTCCGGAAATTTCATTTGAATTTTTACAACATTATTAGAGTTTTAACAAGAAGAGATAATGGAGGTAATGAAGATATAGGAGCCAACAGTGACATAGGAGATAATGGAAATACAAGAAGTGATGTAAGTAATGGAGATTGGAGAGATTATGGAGATATTGGAGCTAATGGAGATATAGAAGATTATGCAGATATAGGAAATAGGAAATATAGGAGGTAAAGAACATATAGGAGACATAACTCACCGTTTTTTGACCCTAATAAAAAAACACATTGACAATCTTGATCTTGGTCAGAAACAATTTTTGGTTCTGGTTTTATGCTAAGGAATAACTATTCTAGTGACAACTGCGACATAATATTCTATGATATGTTTTTATATAAAAGCAAACAAAAAATAACAATGAAAAGAAAATATTTGGCCTCCAACACGGCCATTATCAGGCTTAAATCTAGACGATTTTGACTAATATTACGAAATCAAAGAAGATTATAATTGAAAAAATTGTAACACCAAAATATCATGAATCTATAACAACATGAGATGTATCTCAACATCATAATCTAACTAGTTATCAATACGAATTAATGGGATTGAAATAATAATTAATAATAAATACTATATCAAGTTATAACATAATAATAATAATCAATTCGTAGCATAACATCAGATATATCTAATAAATAAGTAAAAACCCAAGCTTTATTTTTCTCCTGAAATATAATAATAATTATCATCAAGTATATCATTATAGATTCATGATATTAGGTTATAATTTACATTTTTCTATAGGTTCATGGTGTTTTCGTCTCACAACTTTTTCAATTATAATCTTATTTGGTTTTCCTTTTGACTTTGTAACATCGATCCAAATCGTCCAGAACCAAGCTTGATAATGGCCATCTTTAAGATCTAAAACAATATCTTGTCATTTTATCGTTTGCTTTCTTTCATATAAACATACATAAACTAAATAAAATTTCTATGTTTCATATGTTTTCTTATATAACAACAAATATTGTAGCGATTAGGCCTGCGACAGTTCCGTATAAATTTCGATCGTGATAACTGTTACTACTGTTCTTTTGAAAAGAACTTATCTGTCTGAAGAGTTCTTGTTAAATGAACTGGCTCCTCTTGACATTATATTTTAACCTAACCATTACATTTATACTTGTTGCTTGTGCACCATCTTTCTCAACTGCACAAACGTGTTGGAATGGTGCTAACGGAAACTTAATGCTGGTATAAAAGTATTCGATACCCACTTCTTCAAAGAGATGAAGCCCTTGAATCTAGTTCTCGAAAAAGAGCGGGTCACTATACATAGATTTTGGAGAAGAATCGTTTATTTGATCCATTTTCCTCAAAACCAATATGTTCATAGAACTTGTTGCTATCACAGATCTGGTAGCGATTCTCAGCAGAATAATTTTTGCTTGAATTTAAAGCACATGATCCACAGCACGCAAGTTATACATAGCCACGCAACACAAGACTTACAATCAAAAGTGTTCGTTCTGATATTCGTATCAGTATAAATGCGGGCGTTGATGCCCGTGTTTCGGGCGGCACCAACATCAAGTGCAATATCCTCAAAGTGAACGAAAGTCATGTGATCTCTATTCTCAATTTCCGAGAAATCCTGAAAGGCATCATGCATTACCACCGATATCTCCAGCAGCATCAGATGAAACAAACTTTTGAAAATTCAAATGAATTTCCTCAGAATTCGAAAAAGACATCATACGATGCAAGATTAGAACGGACTTATAGACATATAAGGATGTGAATGTCGGTGTAGGTATGGGTTAAGAGAAGAAGCGTATCTACACTCAAGTAAGCCCGCTCCCATGACTCCATACCCACACGCAAAGTCACTGAAAGAAGAACGATGTAACGACTTTCTTTCTTGTTCTTCACTCAAGAACGACAATAAGCAAAATAAATTGCATTAGATTAAATCAATCTTTGAAAATGAAGGGAAACAGAACAGGTGTATATCTGTATGTATATTACCAGAACCATTCTCATTCTTGTTGTCATACTCGATACACGATTATATTATTTCAACGATGCGTTTTCTCTCTTTGCTCTTGCTTCTTGTGTTCTTCTTTGCTGGCACTCAGGCAATCGAAAACTTGAAGTTGGAAGAGGCGCATGCTGGTGAGTTTTCTTCACGTTACAAAAGAAAATAAAGATCAAACCTTTCTAGGTTACTGTCCGATTCCACACAAAATATGCATGATCGTCTGTTCACCTGAATCTGCTGCTCGAATGTGTGCGAACAGTCTGAACTGCTGCAAGAGAGATAGTCAATGTGCCTCGGACGAAAAATGTTGTCAACCCGCATGCGGATGCTACAATCGGTGCATCAAAGCCCAAGAAAAGCCAGACTGGAAAAATTAGCCTTCGATAGTCTAACAGCATGTTTTTGATTTTCAATGATTTCTTTCGTAACGATACATAAATGAAATAAATTCTGGTGGCACGCTTTGAGTTGAACCTCTAGCTATAACTACTAGATCTTAACGAGAAGCAAGATCTTAGTGAAATTTTGCAAGAATATAAGATGTTTGCTAATGACCGTTCACTTCGGAAGTCTTAACATTTGTCATTTTTTCACATATACTAAACTCCCCCCCAGAATAAAAGGCCATGGCCTTCTATTATGGAAATTCACATCGGACTTTTCAGGGTGGCCTTCTATTAAGGGTGGCCTTCTAATAGGACTTGTATGGCAAAAACTTACAAGTTTTTTTTGTTAGTTACTGATTTTGTTTTTCGAGCTCGGCAACTTAAAATTGAAATTTGTTTAAGCTTTTTNGATATGGGAAAGACCATAACAAAACAATAACGATGCCGATCATATCTGACGCATATTTTTATGTGCTCATCAAGCGGCATTAACATAGAGGTGGTCTTGGTTTTCATCACGTATATGACCACATGATGTTATCTCTTGATATTCCTCATGCATTTCTATACCTTTTGTGAAACACGACATGAAAGGAGTATTGAAATGTCTTGAATAAAAATTTTGGACCCACACATCCCGGCCTCCCCTTTCCCCTCACAGACATGACAGACAGCCTGCAAACTCCCTAGCGACCCGTCATAGATGTAACAGACGCTAGTCAGAAACTCACAGATCGTGACATAAGTTGTTAATACGCAATCACAGCTCGTATGCCAGTAACGGCCTTGTTGTCATAAACGAATTACTTTCTTATTACATTTCTCGAGGATTAAGTCAAAGGAGGATGAAGACAACAGTAGCTACATCGTGTTTCATATTTTTAATTCCTCAGGGATTGTGCTAACAGCTTGTATCTGTGGGTATGGCATCCTGATGACAGAGCATCACAATGAAATCGATAATATGCGAATTCGAAGGCCTGGTATGTTTACTCTCACGTTCAAAATCACAAAAACATAGATGAATATACTGAAAGCTGAACCGAGCCTCTCAAATTTCACATATTTGACCCAGCTCCACCCTTCTATCTTTGTATCTCAGACTGTCAATCGAGAGCGGATGAAAAAAATTGCCATCTAATGCGAATATGGTGTTCTAACAACACTATTGTAATGCTGAAAACTATACTGTTTCAGCAAAATTCAACAAAAATAGGTCGAATCTGAGTATATTTCGAGCTTTTCGCTTCATTATACCTTTCTTTCTATATCTTCGTCTCTATCAATAAGTAGAACTTGAAAAACTAGTCCTGTGGTACAAATTTCATGCTGTAGCAAGAGTGGCTTCACAAACAGTCATCGAGACAAAATCTAAATTAAAAAATATGGGTTAATTTCTGCACCAGAATGGTCATTTCTTTTTGAAAGGTTACCGTTCTTTGGCATAAAAGGTTCAGATTCGAAGAGAACTCGAAATTTTGATTTAGAAAAGATGCTTTCCGCTAAATTTTAGTGAATAGTTATTCTACGAGGGTGCCAATAATGAAAAAAGGGTGCATAGAGTGGTTAGGACTATTTCAGCAATGAAAGAGTTTTGAGAGCTCTGATTATGATATTCATAATCAGCACCCCTAAATTCACAAGCAGATACGATTTTGACTCGTGAGGAAAAAAAAGTTTTTTTCATGATACCTGAGGGGGACCCCAGGTACAGAAACCATAAATGTTGTTTTTCG